AGCTGCCAAAGAGTATCCACCTAAGTTCGAATAAAAAAAGGTAAACACGTTTTGCTCGATAGGAGCATTTCTTCTGGTTTGTTGTCTTCAGAATATTAAGCATCTCCGTAGCAAAGGGCCACGAGCCAGTCAGTTTAATAAACTACCACCGACAGAAAAGATGTGTCCCCTCAGGGAAGCTGTGCCAAAAAAAAATTACGCACGAGCTGGATTACTCCCCTCATGCAGATGCCTACTCACTCCTCATTCACTTCTTTTATATATAGATCTCAGGCCAAGAGTGAGTTTTGTAACTTTGAAGGAAAAGGGAGGAGGAAGAAACACTGGAAGAAGAGGAGGAGGAAGAGTGTCTCCTCACGTCCTAACTTCCACCTCTCCGGCGCTCACTGCTGACACATCACTTTCCATCCGTCTCCTCGTTACTCTCTCGGCTCCTCCTCCTTTTATCTCTCCGTCTGTGTCTGACTTTTTCTTTGTCCTTCCTCCCCTCCTCCCTCGCTGTATCCGTTTCACCGTCCTCTGCCTCCCTTCACTTTGCAAAATCCTCCTCGCACTATTTTCATCCCCTCGCTTGGCTTTGTCTATCCTCTCTCCTGCCCCCCCCCCCCCCCACCCACTGCTTCAGCAGCAGCTGTGGAGAGGTCACATGAGGTAACAGCTCACATGTTGACATCACTACGCTGCACAGTGTGCTTTCATAGTTTGCACAGTTGCAGTTATTTGGCTGTACGGACTTTAAACACACAGATGGAATCTCTGCCCAGAGCCTCACCTGACTCACCACCCGCTCCTATCTCCTACAGACTCTCTGTCAGGCTTTAAGGTTAAATGAAAATGATTTAATGACTTTGAACATATAATCCGAGTTTATATTCCTGTAATGACAGAGTGTAAATATCATCAAATTAAAGCCAGATTTAATTTGGGAATGAGTCAATTCCTTCAGTGCTCGCTCACTAACACTGGGTCTTTAAAAGTGTGTTTTGCATTCAAACACTCATCTGAATGAGTTAAGCCAAGGCCTCAGGCAACAGGAACAACATGAAAAGCACATTACGACTGTGACCGATTTTCTTCAAGCTAAATATAACATAAAGGGCAGATTTTGGAGACTCACCTACTATTCTTTCTTCTTTTTAATTCAGGGTTTATCTAAACTCAATTATATTTACTAAATGCAATGCCTAGCTTCAGCCATTTTAAAAATAACTAGATTGTTTTTTTTACTTTACTTCCACCAGAAAGTTTACATTAACTCTTCAGACTCATTTGAGGGCACAGACATAATTAAATACAATTATAACAAATGGAATGGTTTGTATTGTGAAAAAATATCTAACATTTAAGTGGCTAATTAGGCAGAAAAATATAGATTTTAGAACAAAACACTTTTATAATCAGAATTCAAAAGGTGCAAATATTTCATATCATTGCTGGTGTGGAAACACTCCTATTTGAACGGTTGTGATTTTGCATAAATCACTTTTATTGGTCAACCTTCACACCTGGATGGCAACCAATAAAAAAAGTGCAAAAAAGAGCTTTTAAACTTGTGACCACAGTTGACTGAATTGAAAAAAATGACATTTTGAAATGTTCTGAAAAGTTACATATTTGGAGATTCTGGGTTTCTGTACAAGAGTGATGATATAAGAAAACCTTTTGATTGTTCTAAAGGGATAGTTCAAATATTTGAATTGGGGATCTGTTTTCAATAATGTACCTGCTGCAGATAGACTTGGTTTGTGGTTTTAAATGTCCTCTGGAAAAAACATAGTTTCATTCTAACCAAAATACCAAGTTACCTGTTTGAAAAAATGGTACTAGTTCTAAAACAGAATGGGCCTCATGCAAGAACTTGTTCGTATTCTTATCCTAAATTTCTCTTACTTTTGTTCATACAAAGGGTTTGTACGAACATGTCACGTCAGATTCAACAAACTCTTCTATCTTCAGGAAAAGTGTGTAAATGAGCTGCGTAAATTACACCTGTTCTATCCAGCTGCTCGTGCACGCGAGGGGAGATTAGCATAATTACTACTTCAAAAACACCATATAAGGCTATGTTTCCTGCCTCAGATATCAGGAAGTGTTCATTCATGAAAATGACAGTGAAAACTAAAAAGAAGAACTTTACGAGTTCAGAGATTGAAGTCCGTCTGTCAGAGATCCAGAAAAGAAAATCTGTCATTTTTAGCAGGTCAGCTGTGGGAAAAGGAGCTGCTTAAAGGAATGAAATG